CAAATGTCTGCCAGCTCTGTCTGCTGTAAACTGGACCCTCTTTCAGGCCCTGCCATCTCCTGTGTATTCAGCTGTTACCCTCAGATGACCACAACACTTTTTTACCTGTGCCACTGTGAGCCCTCCAGAGAGCAAAGTAAGGCTCCAGACAATTTAGCGCTCAGAGCACTCATAAGCATGACAGGGCTCACCCCCCAGAGACCCCACCTGACTTTGGTACATCATGCTTCCTCTTGCAAATCCAGGCACTGTTGGAGAGACTTGGATTGATGCCTCCTAAGACAGAGGGCCTAACCAGCACATCACATGCACTTCTTTAGGAGGTGGGGGTGCCCTTGCTCAGCCCTGTTACAGTAATGGTGGAGTTTTTCAGACAGCAACCAGCAGATGTTTGTCCTTCTCTGAGGACTACCATGTGGAGCTCCAGTGGTCAGACACCTTATTCTGTACTACTGACACAAACCTGCTCTCCCGTATCCAGAATGTATTCTCCATACTTAGCAAAAATGAATAGTTCTCTTACTTCCACTTGCGGGAACAAGACATGAGTGGATTTTGTTGACACCACTCATGACTGGATTTTCTGGAAGAGGCATCTTTATTTGGGGGCTCAGGGTCCTTTAAAACTTAGAATAGCTGGTAAGAATTACTCAGATGGGTGCATGGCCTTTCTTAAGCTTTGAGAGTTTTACTGAAAGCACATGCACTTTTTTAGCAAAAAAAGAAGAAGGAAACAAAGTCATACTACACCTAGACTGTAATTTCTTGTCAGATAAATTAGGAAAGGCACTTTCTACTTAGTTACAGAATAGAAAAAGGCAAATATGTATCAAATATCAATAAGCTCACCTTTTCCTTCAGATTTTGTGGAGCCCTGTGCATTTTCCAGAGCTCACCTCCCTATGCAACCCACTACTTAAAGGTATTAGAATGTATTATTTCACAAAGATGAGATTATATCATGATTACCACAAGGTATTTGTTGTAGTTAGAGAAAATTAAACAATCTCATCCCCCTAGTACAAATATTCTTTCCTCTTTGTGATAATATACCCACTTACTTCAGAAAGACTATTTTTTTTAGCTTGTCAACACTCACTTTGATCTTCAGAAACAAATTCTTTTTTGACTATGCCATGTCTAGATTCAAAACAAACTCATACTGTCTGTGTACCACTTGCAGAACTGCTCCTACAAGAAATCAGAAAATTCAGTGCCTATTTGAGGGTAGATGTCCCAATGTAGAAGGACAGATATCCAACTTCTATTAACTTCCCTTGCATTCTTCCACAATGCTTCTTCCTCCAGTTATTATATGGTCAGTTTTTGCCAGATGCAAATCAAATACTGTTGAAATTGATAATAGGCTTCACTAGAATGATTAATTCCTTTATTTTAGGCTTTTTTCCTCCAAGAGATGTGTGTCAGGGTGCTTATACTGAAATCATCTTTCCTGATTTATGTGCTTTTTGAGCTATATCTAGTGTTTGTAGAGGTTTTTCCTTCATTATTTTGCGAGTATTTCCTTGCTTTTTTAACCAACTAAAGCTACAATCACAGGGATGGAAAAAAAAAAAAAAGAACCATTGTATCATGGTTGTTGATCTGAAGCCATAAACTATCAAGCACCCCTAACTTCTAGGACTTGGTCCAAGGGCCGCTGGAATCAGTGCATTACTGCCATTAATTTCAATAGGGTTTGGATGAGACTCTTTAGAGATGATCACTTTATAAATTCTTTCGTTTCTAAAATAACACAATTATGAAATTTTGCCCAAGAGTCTCATCTAGAGAGAGACGCCCACTCTCACTGAAGTGAACAGCACAAAGTAAAGTCACTTAGACCAGAGTTCTGCAAATGCCTACATTTTAGCTTTGGTTTATTGGCTGAGTCTGCATAAGAATGCCCAAACAGGTAAAGACATGCCCATGAAGTAGCAAAATAGACTGGATCAGGATCACACTCCTAGCACATTTAAAGATAAAAAAATACTCAAAACAGAAGCCTTTGCATTTTTGTATGTGATGTAACCTGTGGTCGTATTTCATAACAAACATGTAATTCACACAATCTCAACTGAGACATAAACTAAACATTGTACTTAAGTGCTTAATTCAATTTAAATGCTTTGAGAAACACTAGAGCTGCTGCTCATATCCTCAAAGGTTAATGAGTTCAAGTGCTCACAAACAGCAGCTGACCTTAGAAGGCACACTGCAGTTCTTCAGATGGTTGGTCAGAAAGTAAAGGGATTATAATGCTTCCTTACAACAAACCAGAACTATCAAACCAGCTAGAATATTCAGTTAAATCCTGACAGAATTAACCCGAATGCATAATATTTTGGGGTTTGTATTTTTTTTTCAATCTAGTCTGCTTATTTCATTATTGTTTTTCACAAGCACTTAGTTAAAGCATTACGGGAAACTGCAATACAAGGATCAGACTGCAACAACGAGGGATTTTGGAGAGACACAAGGGAGAATACATGAATGAGTAAAACACTGCCATACATTTCCTAAGCATTATAAATATACTAAAATCATTTCTCAAGCTATTAAAGAAATCCCATGTGTTCAAGGCTCTACATTCTCTCTTTCAAGAGCCAACAGTGTCACAAGCACCACCTGTGAAGCCCTGAGAGGGAGAACTACTCCCTGGTCTCTGATTATGCAATGATAAGGATCCAGGCCCTTCGGGCATATCTATTTATTGGCAGCCTCAGAAAATAGGCTGAGAATCAAGTGGGCACAATGAGCCAGCTACCATCCTCTTTACTGTAAGTGCACCAAAGGAAAAAGGTAATGTCTGAACCAAGGGAAAAAGTTTGTGCTGCCATTAGGTATTTAATGGCTATTCCAGGCAGTAGTCTATTCCGTTTGGGTGCAGTCAATCTAGTACTCCTCATGGATGCTAACTTATTTACTTGTCACTGTTAAGCACGCTATAATGATCCAACTGTACTCCAAACATATATGTTTGCCTGACTTAGCATTCCATAACCATCCATTTATTAATTGCTCAAAAGCATTCAAAGCAACACAGCAAGCTGGCAACATGACCCTGATTTCTTATGTCCCTGGAGTACAAAACGGGAAAAATGCAGTTTTTAAGAAACTGATACTCATTCCAGAACAAACAGGGTAATTTTTTTCCTGATTATTTTAATGATCACTACCTAGTTCAGAACCCAAAATCTCTATTAAGAATGTCACAATATTTTGACTGCAATAAAGTGCAGCACCTTATTGATTAAGATGCTACTGTATGAAGAAGGGACATCCTGCCTAGGCATCTCTAATTCCTATGCATATGTTATTTTTGCAATAATTCTATCCAAGGGAAGGACTAATATAGAATAACGTCACGAAAACAGGATTAGGAGAACTGTGAATTTTTCCTAACATGCATCTCACTTCATGAGACAAGTAATGCCATTCAGAAAATCCCCCATAATTCTTTTCATTACAATTGCAGAGTTCCCTGAGATTCATTTTTTTAAGGAAACAAGCAGCTACTCTAGGCTGATCTTCCCTGTATTCCCTGTCAGTATCTAGTCTTGTTCACACAACACAACAAGGATGGCAATCTGCTCCTTCCTAAGTGACACCTTCAGCAGTATTGCCCTCCATGCATTTCTGCTCAGAGAAATCTAAAAAAGAAAAACCACTACGACAAATTTATATCAATAAAAAGCAGCCACCCTGGAAGGAGAGGCTTTTGGTAGTCATTTCAGGGACGGAAACACTGTCACGAAGCAGTACAGCCTGTCATTGCTTCTCTCAGCTTGTTCCCCCCGGACCCTGAGAACCGAAGAGGAGTAGACAGGGGCTTCCTTAAATTACAGCCGGGAAAGATTTTCAGCAGCCACTTGCTTTACCGGGGGTTGTCTTGGAAGGGAGCCCCGGCCGCCAGCATTGCACAAGAAGCGACTGCCATCTTCAGGGGAGCCCCGGTACCGGACCCGCGCGTATCCTCCGCAAACACACAGGTACTGAAGTTGTGACAAAAACCAAAGGCAGTTGTGGGCGGGTGGTAGTGGCAAACTCGACAAACCCTTCGCCTCGCTCCCCGCCTCTCTCTCCCAGGTGAAGGGAATGTGTTTCCTCGCTTCAGCGGAGCTCCCCCCTCTCTCGGCCCTGACGGCCGGCCGCTGGCAGCGCTCCGGAACGGGGGCAGGCATCCCGCCGCGCTGGCGGCGCTCCGCGGGGACCGGCACTGCAAATTTAGTTCTTCCCGAGAAGCGAGCGCCTCCGCGCCCCGCCGCCACCGCCCGCCCGCCCGCCCGCCACGCACCCCCGGGCGAGCGCTCAGCCGCTCCCGCCGGAGGGCAGGGACGGGGGGAAACTCAGCGAACCCCTGCGAGAGCCTCCCCGCCTCCTCCTCAAGCTACGGCCGCGCTCGCCGCCCTTGGCGGCCCGCCGCCGCATGGGATAAGCCGGGCTGGCAGCGTGAGCCCGTTGGCGGAGCGGGGGAGCGAGCGGAGCGCCCGGCGTGCATCTGTTGCTGAGCGGGTGGCGGCTGGCAGAGCGATGCGGCCGCGGCTTCGCTGGGCGAGGCAGCTTTCCTCCCACCGGTGTACGTGCGTGCCAAGGGCAGCGGATCCCAGCCACCGCCGCCGCCAAGCACCCCCGCCGCCCGGGCACCCGTCCGGGCCCACCCCCGCGCTGCAGGCGGCTCCCGGACAGGGGCGCTCCTGCGGCGGCGGGGCGAGCCCCAGCTGCCGGGGCAGCCGCTCCCGGTAATACCGGGAGGGCAGGATACGGCCCGCCGGCTGCGCGTCCTCCCCCTCCGCCGCCGGTCCCCGCACATCTGCCGACAGCCTGCGGGGCCGGGCGGGCAAGGCGGTTCGGAGGCGGCGCGCACGGCCCCGCCGGCAGCCGCAGCCCCGGCCCGGGCGTCCGCGCTGCCCTTGCGCCCCTGTACCCGCAGCGCCCCGGGACTGGGCGGCGGCGCCTCCCCCTGCGCCCGGCGGCGCGGGGGCCGCGGCGGTCCCTACCTCCGTGTCGTAGAGCCGCAGGTCCAGGAAATAGGGGTTGAGCAGGGACTCGTTGCGGATCTGATCCATGGCCAGCTGCACGGCGGGCAGCACTCCCCGGCCGATCCTGCTCTTCTGGTCCTCCTCGGACTGGCTGAGCGGCATCAAGCCCATGATGGAGATCGGCGTGGTGGCGTTGGGGGGCAGCCCGGCCGCCCCCCGGGAGCTGCCCCGCGGCCAGCCCCAGCCCGGCGGCGCCCAGCCCAGGCACAGGAGCAGCAGTAGCATGGCAGGGTTGGAGGTGGCAGCGGCCGGTCTCCGCGGAGAGGGATGCATGCTGCTGGATGGGGAGGAGGAGGAGGAGAACTGAGGGTGGGGGAACGGGCTGAGCGGCGGAAGAGAGCCGAGCCCCTCTCAGTCTGGGCGCATCCCCCGGCGGCAGAAGCCAAGGCGGGAGGAAAAGATCTGCCTCTCTCCGCTTCCTCGGGAGCCTCGGGGTCTCCTCTCTCTTCCCCCCCCCCCCCCCCCCCCCCCTGCGACAACCCC